GCACCCCGGACCCCCGGGATCCTCGGGGCTGGCTGCGCCGCTCGCGAGGAATTTGGGAACCGGGACCTAAGGGGGGCGAGGGGCAGCCAGTGCGGGGCTGCAGCTATTTCTTAGGAAGTGATAGGAAAGAGAAAGCAATGCCATCAGGTTTCCACCAGCACCGATCAGACGCGCCGTTTGGCTTTACAGGCGTGAAATCTGTTTTCTTCCTCCTTTTTTTTTTTTTTTTTTTTAAGGCGTCTTCCCCCCCCCTGTTCCTCACCGAAAGCTAAGTTATTATGCTTTGGTTAAAACGGTAATATGCTCTTTTTCTGGAACTGTAACCAACGCGGGACTGCCTGTGATTTAGGAAAAACAAAACGACTAAAAGCCAGAAAGCAAACTAATTGATGCTATGCTGCGAACTGCAGGATGCCAAAATGAGTATCTTTTCAGAAACAGCTCTTCAGATATCCCGCACAAAATGTATTACGTCTGATCTGTTTCTCTGATCCATCTGAAAAATGCAAAAAGTAGAAGCCTACCGCCTCCACGGCTTTGTCAATAGATCTCTAAGCGATAGTTTACTGAGACCCCTCTTCGCTTGCGATGATTTTGCAGCTAAATCAAGATCAATATTCTGATCTCTGACAAGAATTTTATTAATATTTTATTTTAAAATCTCATCTTGTTTCCGACAAGCCCTGGTTTGAGGTTGGTTCAGTTTGGATTGGGCGTCACCACATTATTTCTTAATGACTTTCCCAGCTGCTTCTTTCCATTTTCCACCATCAACAACCATCTGGTATCTTATTAGCACCTCAATGCTCATTTAGTGTTCTCATTTAGGAGAAAAAAGAAGTAAACATTCAAAATATTACACATTTTAACGGACCATCTTTGGAAGATTAATGCCTTTATAAACCGATAGATTGTCTCTCTCAGTCTCTTTTTAACCAACAGATCGGAATTGCAGAACTTTCTTCTGGGAAGTGCAGGAGCTGCTTTTTTTTTTTTTTTTTCTGCTAAGATTGTGCTTAATCTCACAGGGAAAAATCTTTAACAGTCATATTTCCTCTGTGTTTATTTAAAGCCTAAATCCTTACAAATATTCTATTTCCTAATATTATTTTTTTTTTCGGCTTCGGTCTCAGTGTATACCAAAGCACTAAAGCTCTCGATACAATTTAGGAACAGGTTTGGACAGCAAAGTTATACACCAGGGTACTGTGAGCAAACTTGTCCCTTTCATTTGCAAGAACGTATTTTATAATGTAAGTGGAAGTCAGATACATTTATGTTCGGAAAATGGATACTACAGAACACGTCTGATTCATCATAACTGAAAAAATAACTTTAATTTTACTACTCAAGAACCAGCTTCACTCAGCTTCTTAAATTTATGTGTATGAAAAGGGAAGCTCGCAGCTTGTTTTTGACAAAATAGCTATAAGATTCTTTAAAAGCTTGGATTTGGTATTTTAAGTTTCAGTTACCCAGAGGCAAAAAGACTTGACTTTTTAGAAAACAAATTATAAATGACTGAATAGATTTGTAATATATGTATAAGATTTGCAGCAACAGAATACATACCTGAAGAGAGTTCATAATTTCATTTAGTTTATTAGACAAAAATATATGATTTAGACAAGTTTTGCTGACGCGCTATTTACAATCTGAAATCACTCTATATACAGAAAAAACACAAACACATGGGAAACATTTACCAAACAAATAATCCAAGAATGGTTAGAATAACACGATCTGAAATGGTACAATGAAGAAGGGGATCCATCTACAGACTTGTGTAATCGCTTTTATGGATTTGCACCACCTTATTGCAAAAAGAGATTGATGGGAGTCGTTTATATCGTTTCCTTTCCTTTTTTTTTTTTTTCTGTCCTTAATAACAGTCTTTGTAATATTTTTTCACCAAACCATTTAATCAAGCGGAAGGGAGAGCTGTTAAAATTCTCGGTGTTCCCTCTTGCTGAGCCAAAGAGCTGCAGGGGGGAAGGGAGGAAGAAAAAAAAAAAAGAAGTAACAGTCTTTCAGAAAAAAAAATCTTTCCTATAATTGCCTGTCTATTGCTATAGCATCGTAGCATTAGTTAATTGCACAGAAATCTTTGTGACTGGCATAATTAACAGAAGATCTTTGAGGTCTGTTGAGTTTCAGAAAAGTTATAGTCTGGCTATGTACAATTGCAATTTAGCCTAACTTTGAAAATATTACAGCAACTTCTGTGTTGTTCTTGTCTGTATGTATTATTATGGTGATGATTAGGTGTTATAATTAGTCTTTATTATTCACTCTGTTTCACATAAGTAACATTCCTGCAGTGAAAACAAACAAACAAACTCACTTGTCACGGACAGGCTGGAAGGGAGATTTTAACGGCTGAGGTGGGGATTCAGTTCTTGGTACATTTTCTCTTTCTAGAAGGAGACAGAAGAAAAAAAACAAAACAAAAACAAAAACAGGAGAACCATTTTAGAATAACAATAAAAAATCTGGACAGTGTGCAGAGAACACACCTCCCTCTCACCCTCTTGTGCAGGTATATACATGTGTGTGTGTGCACAGCACTATTCCCTACTTTCAGTATTTAAGGAGTGTGCAAGCTTTTCTTGCCACATTTTTGTCTGTCACTGAAATTATGGGGAGATGAGGGTCAGGAAGGAGGGAAGCAAAGCAAAACTCAAAAGAATATGTTTCACAGTGCTATTCCTGCATTATCATCTTACACGATGGACGTATAGGGCAAGAATGTAATAGCCCACATGAATTGGGCTTGATGTTCGCAATCAACGTTTTAAAAAAACCCCAAAAAACCCCAAACAAAGAACCCAAAAACGCTAGGGTAAACTGTCTGTAACTCTGTTAAAAGCAATCAGTTACACCAGGACTGAATCTGACACCGTTCCTCAAGGAGAAGGTCATGTGCGTGTATTGGGGGTGGAGGAGGGCGAGGTGGATGTCTAATGCATTCATTACCTATGTGTTTGGGACTGGTCCTCTCTGAAGGTTTTTCGCTACTTAGAGCTCCCAGGGTTGCTGTTAAAACAGAAGGTTGTTGCTGGGCCTGGAGGTGGTGATTGTGATGAGCAGCGTGGTGGTGATTTACTCCCAAAAAGGACCTCACGTTTAGCAGGGAACTCTGAGTGAGGAAAGCCCCATTTGTCCAGTTGTGAAATTTGCCAATCTGGCATGTGTAGAGTCCATGGCTAGGGAGAAAAGCGGGGTGCTGGATCTGTGGAGAAGTATGGTTAACCTGGGGAGGAGGGGGCGGAGGGGGAGAAGATTTCAGGGCGCCATCGGGACTGGTTGCTGTCTCTGCCAAAGACCAAATCTTGGGTTTGCTGTGAGATGGCATCTGTAAATTGTTCTGTCCCCCAGGGCTGATGATTCGCGTGCTGTTGTCAGAGGTCTCCTTCACCATGGCCAGCGCATCTTTGGGCTTCAGGCCTTCAGACCCTGACAGTGCCAAATCCTTCTCCTTCTCCAAATGCTCCTCTTCACTGCTTTGTCTCAGGAGCTCAGGCTTCTCCTCCTCTTCCTCATTGCTCTGCTCCCCATCGTTCTCATCAATTTTGTCTATGTCTATGCTCTCCAGGTCGATTTCCTCATCGTCTTCATTCTTCTCGGGGTCCCCCTCATTGTCACTCCCGAAGAGGTTTGCATCTTCTTGGTCTTTACTCCTGGAGCCCCAGGTCACCTTGTTCTCCTTCTTGAGCCGCCGGCGGGCGTTGGCAAACCAGGTGGAGACCTGGGTGAGAGTCATCTTGGTGATGATGGCCAGCATGATCTTCTCGCCCTTGGTGGGGTAGGGGTTCTTACGGTGCTCGTTGAGCCAGGCTTTGAGGGTGCTGGTGCTCTCCCGGGTGGCGTTTTTAGGCCGCCCCGGGTCCCCATACTGGAACTGTCCGTAGGGATAATAGCCGGGGGCAGTGTGGGCAGCAAAGGTAGCAGGGTGGACACCCGGATTATCTTTCAACTCGTACTGGGAGCCCTGCAACACATTCAGACAAGCGGAGAGGAAAAAGCACATCAATTATCTCGTTAGCGTCTCTACCAGACCTGAATGGGCGACTACGGGAGCCGGAATACGCCTTTGAGCGGTGCAAAGGGTCTTCGCAGGCAAATTCGGCCCTCCCTGCTCCAGGCTTTTCACGTTTAGATCAGACAGAGGTATTCCCAAATGATCTCCCCTTCTTGCAGGGAAAGGAAAAGAGAGGGGCTAAGATGGGCTCTGCCAGACGTTATGCGGATTTTCTCCGCGAACCAAACCAAATCAAACGGTGGTAATGCAGCAACTTCGCATTCCCGTCGGCGAGACAATTTATTGTGCCCTCGAAATTATCGGGCAGGTACTACACCATAGTTACAAACTAATGCCTGCACACAACGTCGCATTTATCTGCAAAATATCCAAGAGGATATTACAAATGCATGCAGAGCATTCTTCTTTGGCCCCAGATCTGCCTTTAAAAGGAGTTGGCGTGAGAGGAGACTGGGGAGATGAATGCACAACTTCAGTGCTAAGACACTTACAATATAAGAGATTTTCCACACACAAGCCAACTCCCCCGCCCCCCGAATCATACACTAAGATTCTGGTGTAAAACATTAACTTCTAACTGTTACAAGAGCCTTTAAACTCTGGAATGAAAACTGATCCACGCATTGTAGAATATGGATATGCAGACACTTTATCTCATAAGTTTTACTTTGATCTGGGCAGAGCAAACACAAATTGTTTACAAGCGTTTAGAGCCGGTGATTTATTTGCAATCAATATTCTTTTTATCATCAGTAGTAAAACACAGCAAGTCAAATTATCCCATCAGGTGTTTTGGTAAATAACATTTTATCTTTCTAGCAACCTCATTAGGCCTCATTATTACCGCAAATTGTCCAGATATTAACTTAATATTTTAGCTCTTAATTTACAAACACTCAGAATTTTAGAATTTATTTCAAAATATCACCGTCATGGTAAACCACTGCAGTAAAATACCAGGATACTTTGCGAGTAGGAAAGGGAACTATTCCTAAATAGCTAACATTTAAAGCCGTTTTCTTTTTTTCTTGCTTATAATACAATCTCGCTTTTTTTGTAGTCCAGAAACGCATCCTTAGTATTGCTCTTGCGAAATTTTGTGTCAGCCTTAAAAAATGAACCGCTTCAAACATGTCCGCAAAGAAACTAATCTAACTTTGTCAAACAGTGAAAAAGGAACATGTATTTTCATTTCAGAGACAAAGCTTATACACAAAGAGAAGCCCGATGTAATTTTTGTAATGTGTTACAGAGTAGGCTTTCTGCGCTTCCTTTATTCCGCTGTCTTTTGTTATTGTTGCTGAAATGATATTTTTTTGTGTGTCTCTGTTGGGAATTCTTTTGAAGAAGCCACTTGTAAATCACTCATTGCTTCTGTCTCAACTTTTACTGCATTTCCAAAATCAAGGTTAAGAAAAGTAGGAAATGAACGCTGTTAAAAGTGCCTTCGTGGGAAATGTTTGCAGCACAAAATGATCTGTTTTCAGATGCTGACCTTTGTTCAACAGCGTATCTACCTGCTTGCCTATATATGTATTAAAAACCCTCAGAAGTTATGCCTTGCATGCACCCGGCTTTTATGTTTCGGGGGGGAGAAAAAAGAGAGGCACTTAGAAATTAAGTGGAACCTGTGCGTACCGTCGCCGGGAAATTTGGAGATACCAGCAACGAAAATGTTTCAACGATACCAGAGATAAAAACAGTTAGCCAAAAAAAAAAACAACAAAAAAAAAGACGTTTCACTTTTTAACTATTACATTCTAAAGAAAAGGGGGGTGAAATAAACCCGAGGACAATCTGCGTGACGGTGATTTGTTTTAGAGTTAACGGCAATAGTGCCTTTCTACTCCGATGCCTATGCTGGGGTGTAGGTGCCCTCCTTCGCTTGATGCAAATCCCCTCTATGACCCCCGCCACAGTCAGAGTATGAAAAGTTCAGGGAACCGATCGGGCCATTTTTTAAGTCTGAAGGAAAATGTCGTGAAACAAACGGGCGTACCGGCTACCGACACCGCACCTCGGCCTTTCGGACGAGACCTGTTCATAGCTCGGCGGCACAGAAAAGGAGCGGGCGGCAAGAGGAGCGCGCCGCAAAGCCAACTGAAACAGCAGGACCGACAACATCACCCGTCAACAACGACACCAATAACAACGACGGGGGGGAAGGGGGAAAAAAAAAAAA